TTAATTATGAAATAATATCTTAACAGTGCTCACTAGTGACTAGTTTCGTGAGAAAATACTCCGAGTTCTAGTTGAGAAGACGTGACCAATGGAGTTCAGCCCGGTCGAATGAAGGCTGTAACTACCAAAGACAAATGGGTGAGGTCGCGCAAAATTGGTAGATCAATCAGAGTTAGACATTAACACCGTTGGATGCCGGCCCAGTGATCGGATGGTTAGGCGTTCGCGCACAATACCGAACGTCCTGGGTTTGAATCCTGCGAGGTGCAGGAGTAGTGGATGAGCACTGCTGATGAGTCCCATCCCAGGACGAAACAGCCGTCCAGTGCTTTCAGGTTTCTAATGTTGGTATAACAATGATTGATTGATGATTTCAAATGTGGAAATAATATACACCAAATCATTCAAGCAAACCTAACGTTTCATTTTCAATAAGTATTTAGAATAATTAGAAAATCAGAAATATGATCTCTGAATAATTCAGACTTCTAGACGCCCAAATAGTATTTCAAATAGTTAAGGATCTAACGTTTCTGGGTTTTCTCGTGTATGACCACTGCTAAGGAGTCTCATGTTACGATGAAAACACTTTCCAGTGCCCCCTAATTTTCAAGTGGTAACTCGAATAATATCAATCTGCGAAAAATTCAATCTACATATTAAAAGACAACAGCCAACCATGTACAATGGTATTAAAAAGCCAGAAATAAAACACTAGCCATTGATTATTATTATTATTATTTCAAGAAATTTATATTTCCCGTTCGTTAATGTTCAAAATTATAGTAGATAAGTCTTTGTTGATATGCACTATCTAACAAGAAGTCAACTGTGGTTTAGATTACTCACATTTCTAACCATATAAAATTATTCATATACGCAAAATAGTCCTATTAATAGTTAAGTATATGTTCGTTAACTTAATCGTCCCATAAAAAACCACGAAACAGATAAGAGATTAATAATTTTGAGAAAGTTTAGTGTAATGCTTTATCCAGTCTTGTACAGACTCATTCTGTCAGATTTGATCACTCTAGAAAATATAATTAATCATAATTAATTAGGCCATTTAATTTCAAGATATTAAAGATAACTGGTTAGTGATGATTGATTTCACAATGAATGGATGATGAGTCAATGTAAAAAAATGAAATTTATTCATGAAAAGCTATTAACACTGAAAAGAAGTGATGTATGGACCATTATTAGTAACACATTCTACTGTGTTACTAATGGATATAACTACTATTCCGATAAAATTAAAGATGTATGCCATTAGGATTGATGTTACTATATAATGAAATCGTGAATCTTGAGTTCGATTCCTCCAGCCGGCGGTTATCGGTGCTCAGTGCTGATAAGTCCCCTACAAGGTCGAAACGGCCGTCTAGTACTTCTAGGTTTCTAATGACAGTCTAACAATGATTGATTCACGATTTCAATGTAAAACAACAATCTCCATAACTCTATAATGAAAAATCATTATTATTGTTTGATTTTCGTCAATCCAAATAACAATCATGAATAATAAAATAATATTACGTTTGTGCTACACAAACAGACAGAAACTAGAATTTTTAATATTTTGTGACTTAATATAAGCCACTTCAGATTAAATAAATAATCCGATTAAATCAACAGACTTTTAAGCAGTATAAAGGAAGAAGGCAGAAGACTTTATGAAAATTCGGAAATTCTGTTTTCTATTAATTAGGATATCATAAACATACATATTATTTCTTTATTATTAACATTCTACTCAATGCTCAATTCATTTTAAATAATCTAGTTTGACCTTGTTATTTAATACATATTGGAAAGAATTATAAATGTTTACTATTTAGTGGAGTTCAAATGAAACGAAATGTGATGAAATACCATGCAACTCTACACAGATTATCCTTGAAGTGTATGAATACTAACTATGAATACTAACAACAAACAGATGCCCAATTACAAAAAAATTGTTAAATATTCAAGATGAGTAATTCATTAAAATCAACTGCTGTGATATAAAAATTCACATTCATACTAAATCCGATTTTAATGAATTCTTTTTAAACGAGTAATTATAAATCATCATTATTCATGACTAGGCTCAGCAGTATCATTTCACCTGTAATAAAGACGGGAGAAATCTGTTTCAAGGTCAAAGGAACAGGACGGCTAAAAGATGTGTGCGTGTGTGTGTGTAGGTAAATATTATCCATATCTCAAAAAAAACACATGGAAATGACCAAAAAGCAATAAAAATAAGAAATCTAACTGTCGATTTATCCATTAATCAGTTTCCATGTCTAGAACGCTTTATTATTATTATTATTATTGGATTAGCTGATTTGGTGGTGGCAGCGGCTCAAAATCAAAACTACACACACACACACACACACACACAAACAGACATAAATATCCGGTAGTTAAATATGGAAATCAACATGCTATTTTTTTTAATCAAGTTGCATTATTAGACAAACACATTAATAGTGAATACACATGCGTACATGCACAAAAACAATTTAATGACTCATAGTCAGAAAGTAACTAGTCCCATTTACATGGAAAAGTTTGATTTATTATAAGAATTAAGGCTGGAATTTGTTAAAAACAAATTTTAACAAAAAAAATGCCCAGTTAAGGGTAACGGAGACCGAAATGACATTTTACACTTACTGGTTCGAATTATAGCCTATTGGAATGATAAGTTCAGCAGACATTTAAAAGGGAATTTAGGGAGAGGCAGATAGGGAGTAGGCATCAGAGAAGTGAATCGAATACTAGACTTTACAGTGTTGGGCGGGTTAAACGGACACCCAAATTATAATCACACATTACATAACCCGATAAAAATTTGTCTATATTATTTGATAGATCTGGGAAAATATTAAACAGTTGAATACTTATTGACAATAGTTACTTAGAAATAATTTTTATCTTCAGAAATTGACGTCAGCTTAAAGAATCGATAAAAGGCAGAAAGTATTAAATATTTACTAAAGTCAAGTATGAGATTTACCCGACTTATGGTGAATATGTGATATCACTCAATGATAACTGAGACTTCAGTCAATTTGTGATGATAGCACATTGTTATTCAGTGTTTCTCTTATATGATACCGATTTGTGGTGAAAAGGACTTAGAATTTTTACAGGGCAGAAAATCAGACAACTATTGAGTAAATAATAACTAAACATTAAATTATTAACAATTTAAATTATAGTTAGTTTTACATATATGGAGAAAAATCAGAATAATTTTAAACCTATTTAACAAATGATTTCATTCACTTATTATCAATTATCATAATTGACTTTGTAAATGATAGGAGTTTATGTATCTTATTAACTATTCAAACAGGTGAAAATGATAACATGGTATATATATATGGTCGCGAAATATAGTGTATTAATTAACGTTAGACCGAAAGTCCTGGATTCCATTTCCTATTGCAGGTTTTTGGATGCAATAAAACTCATCAATGGCCACAAAACGACACTAAGAAGAAATATAGTTAAACCTAACCTAATGCAACTCAGTGAACGAGTATAAGTCGATGTACTCTTTGAGGAGATATTTTATTGACCGATTTATGAAGTACAGATTCGTGCACTTAACCTCAAGGCATGCTGTTAATGTAAGAGTTACTGACTCAGCAACTAAGTGGATCATCCAATGGCGCTTGAAGAGAATGGTTTTGGGATCGAGACCCGATGTGAACGCAATTACATCAATCAGACGAGATGAAACATTGTTAACTACCATCCATTCCTGCTTAAAATATTGCTAATATTGTCATTTAAAAATACAACTTATTAACAACTACATAAAATTTCGAATCAAATCTAGTGTCACGTCATAAGTGACATTGATGCAAAATTTATAATGAAACTTAACTTCACATTTAAACAATATCCCAATTTCTCCATTTTTTTAAAATTAAAGTTTATACAACACTATACCATTATCAATCTTTTCATAAACGATTTCATGAGGTAAAAAATACCAACTTGATGACTTAAGGACAATGACTAAAAGTCTTATGGTAGAAACCGAAAAGACAAGATTGAATAAACTGATGACAAACTTTAATGAAAGATGAAATAATCCGTAATCACAATTCAGATCAAAGCATAGGCCTGTAGTAGTTACACCCATAAAAACAAATAAACCAAACGGTGGAGTGAATTTGTAGCTCAGGTGGATGATTCTGGTGGAGTTTCGTTCTTTGAGATAGATGTTCTGGTTGTGTAAGTCACGACTCGAGCACAACCCACCGCAGCATCTTAATCTCGTTGCCTAGACCGGACAATCCGGCTACAGCCCAGTCAGGTCTAGATAACCAGATTGAGATGCAGCGGTGGATTGTATTCGAGTCGTGGCTTATATAGCCAGAACATCCATCTCAGAGAACAAAACCCCATCACAAATAAATTAAACTCAATATTTATAGAAATTAGTGAGTCGGTTTTTCAATATGAAAGTTTAACTTTTTGTTTTGTACACATTTAAATGTCTAAGAGACATTTGGAATTTTATCATCATTTTTTCTTGCATGTCGCCATACCACATCAGCACAGAGATGTAATTGTCAATTCAAATCCAATAGTAGAAGAGGTAGTAAAGGTATTAGGAGAGGTTAGGATTAGAAGATATTATTCAAGAAGTATGATTGAATGAGAAAAGTTTAGAAAGTCAAAACTAGAGTTGTTGAAGAACCCAGAAGGTTAGGATTTGAGAGAACACAAAGAATAAATGCACCGGCGCCATTGCGAACGATTTTGAGCCATGTCATTCAAGGTCTCTAACCATCGATTATTATCATCTCGCGTACCCCAATCAGGTAGTCGACAATTACCGACATGGCAAAGTCCACTCGTCAATGACTTTATGGATTTCTGCCATGTTTTTATTTGGACGCCCCTAACTTTCTTCCAACCTATTCCTACACTACAAAACAAAGCTCGACGAACAACAACAACAACAATAGCAATGAATAACTTACCAAATAATAGTTTCTTAAATTTTGTATAATAATTTTCCAATTGTTTAATCGATCTTTTACACATGTTACAGTTTTGCATAGACCATCATCTGGATTCGTTCGTTCATCACTAAATAAATAGATTTATTAATCAAAGTTAGAAAAAAAAACTGATTAGAACTTAATTAAACTCAAATGAAAAATAACAAAAAAGACAAACAACCAAATCATACGAGATCACAGTCTGTTTACTAACAAAGTATTGAGTAATAAGTAACCTGTTTGTTAGGGTTTGCATCTATCAGTCACTCTCTGCTGACAACAACGGAATGCCAACCCTTAAAAATAAAATGTCTACTGGTTGAATAAGTTAGTGGGTGTTTGCTTTCAATGGTTTAGTGGACAACGTATTGGAGTTTAAAGCAGAAGGTGTACTAGATTCTAGTCTAATTGTAAATACCAAAGTAGATGCAGGTAAGTCTAGCTGATGAATCTCAAACAGGACAAAACGTGTATCTGGGACACGATCCAACTTCAATCAGAATTAATGGATAGTTTTTATTAGGCTATGAGATACATCTTAGTAGTCCCTTCTCACTATGTCTTGATTGTATCAACTTAGAAAGTTCATGTTTGAAGGTGAACATGATAAGAATGGCCTTACTATTGTCAAAAGTATGTGTCCAGCCATATTTGAGATTATTAGCACCGATAATATGTCATTATGTTACTAAAATTACTCAGTCCTTAACTCTCCATTTTCAACATACAGAAAATTTTTATTATTTGTGCTTTCAGTTAACTCCCAAACATTCTGTTTAGTAGTTAACGATATTAAGTATGTGGCTGTTAAATCAGGGTAATGAGGGTCTGTGTGTCTAGTAGTTTTTGCTTATTCTGTAGGTAAAAGATTTAAATGTGTCAGACATGTTAAAAATTCACTGTCAGATGAATGTAGCCAAGATGAACTACGTTGAGTATTGAAATAACGGCAATTTGAATTCTTTGTTATCCAATCAGAAAACAGTTATTTTAAATGAAAAATGTTTAGAAAAAAAGCATTTCAGGGATTTAACATAACTAATCCATCTGTTGAAGTTGTTATATACAAGCTTTGCTGTCCTTAAACCTGGAAAACAATCACATACATCCGTTGACATAGTTACAAAACATCCGTCTTCTCGAAACAGATATTAAAGCAAATATTCTTTTACTAGCGTACATTTTGTTCCTGGTTAGGATCTAAGTGCTATATGTGATCAATATAAATAGGAATGAGTATTTGGTGCACTTAAAACTTTCATTTTTACGCTATGGTGAAAAATGTTCATAACCCTGAGCGTTCTCCACAGTATACAAAGGCATTTTTGCTGCTCGTTTTAAATCAAATATAGATAACAATTACTTTTTCGAATTTTAAGCAACATGTGAAAGTCGTTTCCTCGATTCTGATCCTCTCGTCTTAATTCTATACTTTTATTAAATCTATCAATTAATGCCTGAAAGACAAGTGATTTCATTATGAAGTACATGGTAATAATAGTTGAAGACTTATTAGTCAACAAATAAATATCAGTGGAGTTTGGTAGTCTAGAAAGAATTACAAATTCCAAGAAAAAGAAGAATATTGATGTCAAACTTTTCAAATAATACACGCATATGTTATGTTTCAATACAGATTTAATGTAGACTATCATAAAGTATGAAATTACACATTTGGTTGTTTAACTTAAGATAAGTTATTCTATTGATCTCATTAATCATATCAAAATTACGAAAAAGATCTTCAGGATTTTAATCTTTCTCGGACATATCATTTAGCATTGAAGCTTTATTTGCTAGTTAATAAGTCACTTATTCCCGGTCTAAACTTAAGAAAACAAGGATCAATGACACAACAATTTATTGTAAACAGTCAGTATAATCAAATGTCCTTTTGAATTAGAACAAATTCTTTTGATTATCAGATGAAATTTTTTTCCTACACATTTGATCAGCTCCAAGACTATAACCGGTTTTTTTTAAAAAAACTTTAAAGTTGATGACATTTAAAGGATGAATAGCATTTAGCAATAATTGGAAAAGAGAGCGCAGGAGAGAGTCGATTGGAGAATCCTAGTCAATGATCTTTGGTCTACGAGGGGTTACATTTAATGCACTTAAAAATTTAAGTCACGAGATTTTCCATTGGACTTTGTTGACAGTCAGACCATAGAATATAATGATCCGAAAGTTGTATACCCAGGTACTTAGTGACATAAGAAATACATGTATTTCATGTTTACCATTTGAAAGTAAATTTACTACTAATGAGTAGATGAAACAGAATTCATAAAAACATGTGCACAATTAATGTTTTGTAATTTTATCTATCCACTCACTTATCAATAATGAGTGTTAACATCGGATGATTTTGATAATAGGTGGGTTTAATTACTTCGTTACTTTTCGTCTTAAAAATTAAATATACTTGACAGTGAATTAATGGGGTTAAAAATTCAATCTATGAAAATCAGTTATTATGGGTTACAATCTAAAACTTTCTCATCCATTTTTTATTAATTAATAATGATGGTTATCAGTAGAAAATACAAATTACGATTCTCTTGTACTTTTGTTCTGACATTAAACGTTTAAAATCTCAACTAATATCGCTCAAATTATATATTTTACTCCTCATTCTACCTCTTCCTTTATTCCCAAAATCTCATTTGTCTATTGTTAGTTTCGATAACATATCTAATACTGATATGCATTTCTATTTTCTTATATGGATAGTGTTAATAGTTTGTCTTCAGAAATGTTCTATAAAAATTATTATTATTATTACTATTATTAGCTCATAGAGATGATAAAAATCTCACTGAAAAGAAATAGCTGGTCTTCCTATTTTTTTTCTGTTTTCTATGGTTCATGTCAAATCTTAGAGAAAATGAATTTGAAACACTATCGTCTAAGGATAACATTTTAGTGTATGATTACTTTAAAGGCCTTATATTATCTGATGAATCTTTTCAAACCAGGTGGATTAACTGATGTCTAGTAGCGACGAAAAATTGTTTATGTTTTATTGTGAGTTGACTACAGTTGAAATATGTGGAAAATTTCATTCAACCTAGTTGCTCAAACTGAATTTCGTTATGTTCTGCTTTAGATCTAGGGAAGGAATTTAGTGTATGTAAGATAATAACACCATACAAATATATCCTAGAATTTGGAATAGTTTTTTTTCAAAGAAATGATATTATACAGTAGTTAGTAAAAAAAAGAGTGGGATAAAACAAACGATATTTCAAGTGAATGATTGCATATATCACTAATTATCCAATAAACAAAACTATAAAAAGAATTTATGAATTATACTTTATTTGTTTCCAAGTTTATTTAATTTGAAAAAAAGACATCGCAGTTACATTGTTTTCAATCAAGGGTCAATATCTATACAGATATGCTGAATTTGTGTTTATTAAACAATTAAGCTTGTCGGAACTTGTTTACAATTCGAAAAGAAACCCGTTCTTTTTAGTTTTAGTTTTTTTAATAAACCATTTTAAACTTGGACGTTTTATCGACAGAAATGTATTAAGCATAGAATATTACTTGTCAATATTATGGTCCATAAGATTTTTAGTATGAAAGAATATTCATTTCTGTGTTTAAGCTTTGTTAATTGGATAGAAATATCCAACATATTTTACCAAGGTAAATGAAACTATGTATTTGATGTGAATAAAAATTGAAGTTTTCAGTACTCAACAAGTGTATTGTGTCCAGCACTTTCAGTCATTTTTCTTATCACTTGAAGAGTGAATAGTGAAGCATAATTCTCACTGAAAATATGATTTTAAAAATTAGTTTTGACTATATTTGCCTTTTTATCAGCTTGTCAGTTCAGGTTACATTATATATCCATGTGTATAACGGATACTTTCAGAAAAATCCAGCCGAAATAAACATTAAGAGAATAAATAAAATGAGGTGTACAAGACGATAGGGTAGTTAAGACAGGTAAAATCAATTAAGAAAATGTGAAAATTGAATGGAACATTTGAAATGATAATAAGTTGAAGGCAGATTGAGATAAATAATGCATGTGAATTGATAATCAAAAGCAAATTTGAGTCCTTTTACTCATAGTCTCCAACCGAAAAAAAAAAATTATCTCATGCACTTCATATACGAAGTCGTAATCTGTCTAAACATTTTCGACTAACAATCTCATAAATTAATTTACTGATTCAGTGCATAGATTTTGTTGCCCTTGAAAATCTTTCTCATTTGTTGTTATACCAACCACATAAGCAAAAGGCGGTATATATATATATATGTATTCTGAGCCATGTCATTCAAGGTTTCTAACCATCGAATATTATCATCTCGCCGGCCCCAACCACGTAGCCTACACTTACCAACATGACTCATTTCACTTGTCAGTGACTAGGATTTACACAGTCCGAGCACGGAATCCACCCTCCCCCTATCACGCGGTGACTCCTCCCCCCGTCCCCACTATCACATCCTAACGTCACGCCACACGCCGCACGAGTCATGGACTATTCCTTCCACCGTTTCCCTTTATTTTTTTTTATGCCTTTCTGGCGAGGTGATAATACCCGATGGTTATAAACCTTGAATACATGGCATCAGAAATATATGATATACCAGCCCTTAATATTATGGGTGAACAACAGTGAGAAAGATTTTAAGGGCACAAATAACCCATACACTAAATCAG